GTATCGTTCAACAGTCCGGGTTTTAACTTTTCCTTTAACGCTCTAACCATCTGAGCTATCCCGCCATAAATAACTAAAGTTTAAAGTTTTATTAGCTGTATATCACAATTCCATTCATTCTTGTAGTACTCCATTCATTTAATATGAAGTTTATAAAAAAGTTGTTGTTTGCCGTTACGTTGCGCCATTTTTAATGGTTTTTTTGAATATTATTGGCGATACTATATTTTTAAACTATTATAAACGTATCTATTTGCGTCAAAGTATAAAGATTAAGCGTTTAAGTACAGTCTTGATGTCGTTTTCTAATTGTTTATGAAACAAAAGGTTACAAGCATAGTCCCGAAGAATTTCAATGCGGTTGAACTTCCATCTGTTTTATACTTTCATGATTTAACGTAGAAAGTCACGTTAAATAAGTAGATCGTTAAATAAGTAGACAAATTGAACAACCAAGGCATTATTTGTTAACCCAGACGAATAAATTAAAAAAAAAAAAACATACGTTAACCGAACTAAAACCATTTACTTTGTCATACGAATTGTTATTATTTTATGGCATTTTTAAAGTGATAATTTACCACTTTTAATAATATATAACTCACGACGTATATTCTAGTCGTAATTTTTACCTTAATAATATAGTATGACAAGTAATATATTTTTAAGAAAGGGCTTTTTTCTAGGTCATAAATGATATCAAATAAAAAAGTCATCTCACAAGGAAGTTTATTATATTTCAAAATAATTTAACTGTGCGTTTTAGAAAAATGTTTCACGTTAAATTATTTATCTTTATCCCTTAAACCTATCAATTGTAAATGATTCTACGCAGATAAATAGTAACAAAAGCATTCTGATCACAGAAAAATTAAGAGAATTTATTAATTCGTGTCAAGCCTTTTTTTGTGTGTTAATTTACCTTCTCAAGGCCGAAAAAGCCACTCCAGTCGTGGAGGCTGCTTTAGTTCCCTCAAACCCTCTCACAACTCTTAACTCCGAAACACAAACCATGACGAACAAGACCGCTACGCAGAGAAACAAGTTAAGCGCGGTAGTACCAGGGACGTGATAGTGATCGAACCTGAAACTTCTCAATTATGAGACGAGCGCTCTACCACTTTACCACTACTGTACTACCGTTGAATAACAACCTAGACAGGTATTATTTGACGACTTAGCGGTGTATGTATAGCACAATAATAATAATAATAATAAAATGTGACCTAAACTTAGTTTACTATTTCTTATTATGTGAATGTTTTAAATAAAAACGACATTAAAGAAACGACACACTTCATGCTACACTAAAACTTTTATTTGAAACTAAGATCAAAATATCCTTACACAATATAAATAGCAAAATAAAACACCATGGTTTTTAAGTTCTTTTAAAAAATATCAACTTGGTAGAAACTTGGCCATTTTTGGAAGAAATTCGATATTTCCACATGGAATTACAAGCCTATATAGTATAGAAATATAGTATAATATAAATAGTATCATAAAATTGCAAAGAATAAAAAAATAATAATAAAAGTACCTGCTATTGTACCAGAAGAGTACTTAATAAATGCATTGATCAATATATGTCAATAAATTGATTTACAAAATGAACTCTAAATAGGTCCCAGAAAAATTAGAATTTTCAAATCATATAAATGTTAAAAATGTTAGTCATGGTAACAACATGCCAGAATAGTCTATACTTTCACAATATTCTATTAAAAAATTGATCAAATATCTCATTATAATTAAAAATTACATAGCCATATTTTTAAATACACCTTTTGGTGTAGTTGTAATAGTAGCTATAGTTAACTGCAACCGCAACAAATGTATGTAAACAAAGAACTGACTTTAATATGTGTACCTATTAACTATATCTTATATCAATAACCCTTGTTGATAAAATGAATAACTGATGACAGTAAGAAAAAAAAACTACTAAGTGAGCAAAACAAATCATCATGCCAGTAACAAAATAAAGAACAAGCACTAGTTGACCTAAATTAGCCAATTGTATAACTTTAGACATCTATAAGACACTTACAAAAATAAAATAAGTAATGAACTTTTTAAATATTAACTAAAACATACATAAACAATACCAGCAATAAAAAAAAAACATGAACAATAACAAACATAAACAAACCAACAATAAAATAAAAAAAAATGTATTTGTATATAATGATTGAATTTAAATATTCAAATAAGTCATAAAAACAAAAACAGCAGTAATAATAGGATACATTCACAACAATGGTAGTACTAAAGGCACACTTTTTATGACAGTATAGCACAGTAACAAAAGGTAACATCTCTAATGTTCCATTCTCAATACATTTCAAGTAATGTTACCTCATTTCATTACCTTTTTATATAATTAAATTTAGGTTGATACTGCTACACAAATATACTGTCGCACCATCATACCGTCGCATTTCCCTTTCAGAAAAGATCAAAATCATTTTCATGTACAACTCTATGCACTAACAATGGCGCATCAACTTTACTTAAACTATTAAGGAGACAATCAACAAACTGAACACACTTCCAATGTGAAAGTTATATTGGGTGTTTCAATTACTTAGAAACACCCAATATAACTTTCTGAAAAACCACTTGAATTAAATCAAGTAAAAATGCAAAAAAATCAGATATTTTAAACTTGGAAATCTAAGTATTTTAGAAAACTGATATGTAAACAAACTTTGTGCTATATCAATCAAGGTATCCCAGATGAGTCTCTTTAAATATCTAAGACCTTGTCTTTAGACTGTATTGAAAACTTTAAAGAAAACTTTAGAAAAATTTGAACTTTGACAGCCCATTTTTACAATGAAACTATCATTAACAAATAGCTTTTTTCAAAGTACCTTGTTAAATTCAAAGCAATTCGTTAACTGGTATTACTATTACCAGTTTAAACTCTGAACCTTATCTCGTTGATTGGTTTGAGGAAAATAAGCAGACTTTATCAAATAATCTAAAATTTTAGAGTTTTTTGAAGAGTACAAAGTTCTATAAAATAAAGTAGTTACATAAATTGTTATTTTTTCAGTATATTTACTTTAACAATCAGTAATTTTAATATTACATTTTTTCAATGTTTTGTTAAAGCAAGAGGTTCAACAAAGTCTAGGAGAAGTTTATGTAAAAATGGCGAAACTGATACGATCACATCTCTATACTAATTACTTTGTATTAGTATAGGTATACTGACTTATACTAATAAAATTCCATCAAGTAGAAGGATATTGTTAACTATTTTTTATTTGCTTCAATTCTTCTTACTAAGGATCAGTTAAAAGCATACAAAGCTCTTGATTCTTATAATCAATTTGTATCAGGTTGGGTTATCAACGCTGGTGTGAAATTATTTGAGAAATATGTTCTTATTAATGGCAGAGTAGGTTATTTTAATTATTAGTTCAATATTAAAATAGAAATAGCTTTCTTGTTTTAATTTTTTGTCCTAATTTTTTTAGGTGAAACACTCTCAAAAAATGAATGATGTACCATTACATCCATGGATTATTTTGGAGAAGTCAGGAAATATAGTTTGTGCACATTGCAATTGCATGGCTGGTCTCGGAGAAGTTGTTCACATGTTGGTGCGGTACTATTTCATATTGAGTGTGCAGTTAAAATTAGAAATTCAAAAACATGCACTGATGAAAAAGCTTATTGGTTACTACCAAGCTCTAAAAGGATAGAATTCAAGCCTGTTTCAGATATTGATTTTACATCACCCAAATCTTTGCAATGCAATTTAAATAGTAAAGTTCAAGGCATAATCTATGACAAAAAAATAGCACATAGAAAAAGTGTTTCTATTTTGACAAAAGATGAAACTGATAAATTTTTTTTAGACCTTAGTCAATGTGGAACAAAACTAGCTATTCTTTCAATTATTCCAGGGTTTAACAAACAAAAAAAATATATTTTTAAACTTTGAACAACTCCTAGCTGCTTGTAAAAAAAAAAATTACAATAACGATTGAGCAAAGTAAAAATGTTGAGAGTACAACGCGACTTCAAGCAAAAAGTAAAAACTGGTTTTACTTTAGGGCAGGTCGTATAACTGCTTCAAAATTCGGAGTGTATGCTGCGCTAACATCACCCAACCACCAATCAGTTTGATTATGCAAGTATGTTACCCCATTCAAGCACGTTTTTGCACAGCAGCAACAAAATGGGGAAATGGCCATGAAAAAAAAGCATTGACTTTGTATTCCACAACCATGGAAAAGAAACACTCTAAATTTTCAATAAAAAATTGTGGTTTTTTTATTTCAGTTTAACAACCCTTCCTTGGTGCATCACCAGATGCAGTTATTAATTGTGATTGTTGTGGAAATGGTTGTCTGGAGATAAAATGTCCATATAGTATGAGAGATAAATACATTAGCGAATTATTAGATTTTAAAAATTGTTGTCTGGAAAATAAAGCTGGTTATATATCTTTAAAAAAATCACATAAATATTACTATCAAGTTCAGTGTCAGTTATATGCTTCATCAAGTAACTACTGTGATTTTTTTATTTAGACATCAAAAGATTCGTATTGGGAAATAATATTGCCGGATTTGGAATTTATGGACAGGAATATAATAAAATCTAAACAATTTTTTGAAGAATGTATTTTACCTGAACTAATTAACAAATTTTACAGCCAAAAAAATCAATTAATGAAAGAAATATCAGATAAAAATAAATTTATACTAATAGAACACAGCTACTTTAAAAAAGAAAACAAAGTTTTTAATGATCACGATTATTGTATAAAATTGAAATAAAAATGTAAACTTTTAATAAAAATATTTTATACTTAATTTAATAATATTTATTTTTGTTTATAATATCTAGTTTCAATTAATTATTCAATCCTGTTAAATTTTTAAAAATTATTCCACAGGAATAATTGAATCACATATATTTATCAAAGAATAACAATTTTGTCTATTGTGCCACATATATTGAATCACATATATTTATCAAACAATAACAATTTTGTCTATTGTGCATAATCCAGAATCTTTAGTATATAAGTAATCTAATGGCATAATACTTTGCAGAACTTTATATTTGTTACGTAACAATCCAATAACTCTCTCAACGTGTACTCGAACAGAGGCAATTTTCCGGGTTGTTTCTACATCTGAACAAGTCAGTTGTAACTTTCCTTTTGTAAATCCTGGAATCTTTAGTTCACCACAATAAAAACCAACACCCTTAGCAATGTTAAAACCTCTATCAGCTAAAATAACATCCCTAGGAAGAATGTTTTTTAAAATTGAACAATGCTCTGTTAGGTATTTATCGCTAACACGTCCTCCCCAAGCTTTAGAAACAAATGTTATCACACCTTGTGGGCTTACACCTATTAAGAATTTAACAGTATTGCGATGTTTGTACTGTGACCAAGTTGCTGCTCTTGCGCATAAATTAGATGGTTTATTTATGAATATTTCAAAGCAATCAATTATCACAGCCACATTTGTTTCAAAATATTTTCTAAAGCATAAAGGCATAGTTTCTATAAGCTCATTGCGAGCAGGCCATTTAATTAAATTTTTCATTCTGAAGCACATGTCAATCCATGTTAAAAATACTTTTGATGAGGTCAATTTTGAAGTTTCAGATCTATTTCATATTATAAAGTTTCAAATCTCTAATAAATAGATTTAAACGCAATCTCATAGGCGTCAAAGGAAATTCTTCAAAGTACGATAAAACTGAGTTCTCATTTTCAGTTATAAGAGGCTTTAAGAAGTTAAATAAATAACATAAATTTTTCAAATTTGGCAATATAGTGTAAAATGTTACTTTTGAATCGGTATCAAACCATTCAATAGTTCCCACTTGGAGTTTGACTAAATTTGCACGCAAATCATAATTAAGTTTGTTTTTATATATAAACTCAGTTTCTATTTGATTGATATTTTTGACAGTCATATCTATTGTAACACTTTCTGAGACAATTGAATCACTACTTTTAAAATTCTCTATTTGCAAATCTACGATTGAATCTTCAGAAGGGTTTAAATTAGTGATGCTGTTTCTACAAGACATAGAATCATTTCGACTTGTTAACAATGAACGATTTTTGTGTCGTAAGTATCTTTCTCTAGGTTTCTCAACCTTAAACTTAAACTTTTTGTGCCCCATATATAAGGATGGAACCCAATCTGGATCATTCTGTGAGAAAAGAGAAGCAGATTTTCCTAAATAAAAAAATAAAAATGTTAAACAGTTAATGATATTAAACTTTCAAAGTAATAAATCAGGATATCAGGATAGTTATCAACTCTGTTTATGGCATTTATCCATTTTTGTCTACGTTCTTTTGATAAAATCTTACCATCATTGCCTTGATTGCAAGCTACTTTTGGTAAACGAAAAAAAGATTTTCCTCTTTCACGATTTGAACATCCAAATACAGCACAAAAGTTGACCATATTATAATTTTATCATTACGATGTTTACATATTTATATATTAAACTTTAATTTAAAATAAAAAAATGATAGTAACTAAATAAATCAGATCAGGATTTATATTTTCTTATACTGGTTATACATTAAATTTTATAAAATATTATATTTTTTGAAAAAACTATGAATATTATAATTAATATATTAGTTCCGCTAACTTAGTTGTCCTCCATAATGGCAGATTTGAAATCAAAACAACTCTTAATTATTTCGTGACGTCGAGCTAGGAACGGTGAATTTAACGATAGATTTAACCTACCGAACGGAAGCGTTACACCGTATCTGCGCATGCTTTACGCTTGCGCAGAACTGACTGTCTACTTATTTAACGATCTACTTATTTAACGCGACAGCGGTTTCGTAAGTTGCACTTGCAAAACAAGCATTTTCGCTAAATGATGTTTTGAAGTCTATAAAGAAAATTTGTTTGCTAGACTGATTTTTATTGTAAAAAATAGCATCTTTAAATCTAAAAATGTTTATAATAAATTTTTATTTTCAGTATAATAACATATTAAATTTTGATGGTTTTATTTTTAGAAATATTGATAAAAAACAAAATTTCTTTCAAAATGAAAGTATTTTGCATCACAAGATACGAAAGAGCTCTTAACGGAAACAAACTTACAAAATGTGCATTAATAAATATATATATAATGATGTTTTTTGAACTCATTATGTATAGTAAAAGTAAGAATGATGGGGAGGAATATGCACGTTTTTTTTTTTTTTTAAAGCATATGAAATATTTGAAACAGGTACGAATATGCTTAAGCAAAAAGTAAAAAAGAGGCTCAAAAATATGCTTAAGCATATTTCTAATAAAATATACTTATTTTAATAATTTATAAAAGTGTGCACGTTACTAAAGGTTAATGGGTATAAGAAAAATAAAAAGTTGACTTATGCTCTGTATTTTTGTTTTGGTTTTAATGTAGCTGAATTAATGTTGTTATAAACTTTGGTTTTTGTTGTTTTTGTTGGTTTAAATATAGAAATATATGTATTTAAAACTTTTAATTAAATAAAAATAAATTTTTTAAAATGGTTTATCGAGGCTCAGGAATATGCTTACATATGCATTTTTTTTTTCAAATCTGGGCCTATAAGCGTTATGTTTATAAAAAAAAAAAACACGAGTATATACAGTAGAATTCCGTTGTCTTGGTTCCTGGATAAGTAGGGCTTTACGGCTATCCATAAATGATGTCAGTATATACAAGGGGGAGAGGGTACTGAAAAGTTTGACAAGAATTGACAATGGGGAGGGGGTGTTGAGAACAAAATAATGTTCTCTGTATCTTCAAAATATATTTCTCTGTATCTTTATAAATATTATCTCAAAGAAAAAATAAAAAAGAATAGAAAAAATTTGAATATATATACATTTTTTTTTATACAAGATTCTGCATTAATTATTTTTGTGTATTATGATTGTGTCGGAAGGTAAAAATAACTTTGTGCATTGTAGTCTAAATTCTTTGTTAAATTAAAAATAATGTAAATAAATTTTGTTTTATACTTTTAACAAACAACTTCTATATATAAACTTATAAAAATATATGAATATCAATAAATCTTAATTTAAAATATAATCTTTGATCAGAAAAGATCACAATTCGTAAAATTATTTTACGCTCATTTATTTAGTTGTAACAGTAGTATAATCACTGGTAATATGTTAAACAAATGTATAATATTTAAAAACTTTGGCATATAAAATTCGCCGAATGGTCACACACGAGCAGTGAACGCCTGAGGGAAGAAATGAAGTACATTAGAATAAAGGAGAATTATTTATTAGACAAAGCATATTTTGACAGTTGTCAAGACAAAAATAAAGATTAATTAGAGGAATATTTAAAAATAAAAAAAGACAGGCTATACACCCACAACAATAATAACAATAAAAGTAAATTTAAAAAGATAAAAAAAAAAGTTGTTTTATAAACACCAACATAAACAAAGAAATATATCACCAGACAAAAACTTATAAAACAAAAAACGGATCACAAAATAAAAAATCTGATAACAACAATGAAAGGCAATAAATAATGGAAAAAAAAACATAAATGCTAATGTGTAAACATAATTTGTGTAGTGATTAAGTAATAAACATCTCCTCAGAGTCGCGCCTATTATTACTGGCGTTTCGATGAGGATCAGCATTTATAACTAGTTTATCCTGTCAGACAAACGTCATCGCTACTTATGCTTTACCCCGCGACTTACGCCTGTTCCATACTGCAGTAAAAAAGGAGTTACTACAAACAGCCAAAACCCAACCAACCCCAAAATTGTAAAGCACCAATATTTTTTTGATGATATGATATAAAAAAAGTAGATTTACTGAACAAACAAAAATAAAAATAAAAAACTTACCATACCACCAAAAGAAAACATGAAAAATAAAATAAGTTAAAATTTTAATAGAAACATAAAAAAAAAAATGTCATAAATTTATTTTAAGAAATAAAACCAAATAGGTATTATTTATAAATAGGTATTAGTGATAACAGATGTATAATATTAGGCTCGAAGAAGTTATTAGTAAATGATAATAAGCGACTTGAAAAAAATTGTTGTCAAATGAAAGAGATCTGTGGATGATAAAATTAATTGTCAATAAAATGTAAGAAATTCTGCTTGAAGAACAGAAAACTTACTTGCCAGAATTCAGTGTCAAGTGTTGATGTCAATTAATTTGATTTTACATTAGACACATTAGAATAAAGCAATGAATTTAAAGCTTATTTGTTTGTTTGTTTGTTTAAAGCTTACTTACTTGCCAGAATTCAGTGTCAAGTGTTGATGTCTATTAATTTGATTTTGCATAAGACATATTAGAATAAAGCATGAAATTAACTATTTATAGTATTAATTAATCGCTTTCAAATTTAAATGATTTTAATTTATATATTAGAATAAAGCATGAATTTAACTATTTATAGTATTAATTAATCGTTTCAAATTTAAATGATTTTAATTTTTTTTTTTTTTTTTTTTTTTTTGTAATTTTAAATATAACTGTGTTCTTTTTTTTTTAGTTGCCTTTGTCATCACTTGATTATTTTGCTTACTGTTGAAACTAGGGTTGTTAACCGGAGGATTTCGTGCAATTCCGGAAAAACAACATTCTTTCGTAAGGAGATTGAGAACACGGAATTACATTTTTTCGTACCGAATGTTACAAAACATTTAAAATCGCCGATGTTCATTTCGCAAAAGCCACTTCCGAAATTTAGCATTTCGCAAGTTGACATACGAAACAAAACTATTTTGCAACATACGAAAGTAGCGGTTTCGGAAGTCGCACTTGCGAAACAAACATTTTTGCCAAACGACGTTTTGAAGTCTATAAAGAAAATTTGTTTGCCAGACTGATTTTAATTGTAAAAATTAACATCTTTAAATCCCAAAATGTTTATAATGAATTTTTATTTTCAGTAAAATAACTTATTAAATTTTTACGGTTTTATTTTTAGAAATATTGATAAAAAATAAAATTTCTTTCGAAACGAAAGTATTTCGGATCACAACATACGAAAGAATTCTTAACGGAAATAAACTTACGAAACGTGCCATAATAAATATATACAACGATGTTTTTTGAACTCATTACGTATATTAAAAATAAGAATGATGGGTAGGAATATACATGTTTTTTTTTTAAAGCATATGAAATTTTTGAAACAGGTTCGAATATGCTTAAGCAAATAGTAAAAAGAGACTCAAAAATATGCTTTAGCTTAAGCATATTTCTGATAAAATATACCTATTTCAATAATTTCTAAAAGTGTGCACGTTACTAAAATTCTAGCAGATTTTAAAGGTATGTAGAGTCCTGTTTGAATACGCTTTTCAAAGTATAGATCGTAGAAAATTTTGTTTTTTAATTTTAATAAGATATAAATTTGAGTCTAAGATTGTATAGTTCAATCAGTTAGATACGTAATAATTCGCCGCAGAGGTCCGGGTTCGCATCCCGCAGCCATTGTAACTTTTGTTCATCAAACTCTTTTTACTTAAGATAGCATTTTTTGACCTCCATGTTCTATATTACAGATCTTTCGTCGCATTCACAATAGTGACAACCTCTCTTCTGTTAGTTATTCTTTTAAGATTGAGTTCATTGTGCTTAATTCAACACGTTTCCCTTGCTTTACTAAGTTCTACTTAAATTATGATGAAATGTACGTAAAACAATTTTTTCAAATAATATAATTCATTTTGCTTTAAATCTTTTGCTTTTTGTACTAGACATCTGTCCTAAATACTTTGTAATAATTTCTTGCTAACTCTGAGTCTAATATAACCATTTCTGAATATAATTTCCCTGAGGCTCCTACAGCCTATTGTGTTCCATTAAAAGTAACTAGTTTTTGAGTCCAGATATTAATTATAAGCATCTAAAGGTTCACATTACTATTCATTTTCCTGATATATAGAATCCTATTTGCATACGTATCTCTTTCTGTAAATTCTGTTTTATATAGTTTCAAATTATATATTAAATAAATATTACTATTCTCTTAGTTGAATGAACGTATAGCTCATTCAGTTAAGACATTTGGCCGCGTAGACCCAGGTTCACATCCCGCTGTTTCACATATATTTCTTATCTTTTTACTCTTTCTGATATCATTTACCTTTAGAGAGATCTCTCGTTCTTTATAATAAAGTATTTAATTGTTTATCACACATGCTCTTTATACTTTTTAAAAAGAAAGGCATACTGTTTATCTATTCATTGAGAGTCCAACTTAACGGGATTTTACTGTGTATATAAGTATATATATATATATATATATATATATATATATATATATATATATATATATATATACATATATATATATATATACATATATATATATATATATATATATATATATATATATATATATATATATATATATATATATATATATATATATACATATATATACAGCAAAATCCCGTTAATGTATATATATATATATATATATATATATATATATATATATATATATATATATATATATATATATATATGAATATATATATATATAAATATATATATATATATATATATATATATATATATATATATATATATATATATATATATATATATATATATATATATATATATATATATATATATATGAATATATATATATAAATATATATATATATATATATATATATATATATATATATATATATATATATATATATATATATATATATATATATATATATATATATATATATTAGGTATATTTGTATAAACATTTGAAGAATCATTTGACAACATTTTTTTATAATTTTATTATTTATTATTTAAACTGTTAACAGTTAATATCTTAAATATATCGTAACATAAAATCTTTTGCGTCTTTTTCGTCACTACACATTACGGAATGCTTTTTCCGTAAAGAACTATTTCGTAAGTATTCTTACGAAATGATTTGTTTCGCAAGTTTTCTTTCGCAATGCTTTATTACGGAATTTTATTTATTTATATTTTCGTATAGCGCGTTACGGAATGTGCATTTTCGCATTTGCAACTTCCGTAATAACAATTCTATTACGGTAGATAAAGATGCGAAATTTTCGCAAGTTTTGTTTTTCGGCGAACAACCCTAGTTGAAACACGGTTTTAATTTTGTAGATTTAATTTGTTGTGAAATTTACTATATTAATCATTTGTCAACAGTTAGAGAGAAGCTGGAACTTTATTAAGAAATGCTGGAAATCAACTTTAAGTTAAGGTAAAAATAATTTTGTTTATTGGTAGCATAATAAAACCAGTTACTATTTATTGCATGTCTTTTTTACTTTTTTTAAAATGTTGCTTTTATAACACTTCATCTTTCTCTCTTAGATGAGACTTAAATGAGAATTAGTAATTGGAGAATTGATAAAACTCATGTAATTACTGAGCTTTTTCATATTTTTTAATACTACAATTATTAATGACCATTTATAAGATATATTTTAGGATTTGCTTGCTATTTAAAGATATAATTCTTTAAATTCTTAAACTATAACTGTCCCTTGGTTATTCAAATATTTTAATAAATAAAACCTTTTTAGTTTCAAGTATTTTACTTTAGGGGTTGTCCATATTTTACCTAACGCAAAGTTAAACTTAAAGACAAAAAATATATCTCAAAAACCGTGTTTCTCTCATGGTCAAACATATGTTACATGTTCAACAACTAGAGAATTTTATAGTTTGTTTTTCAAAATTGATAAATATCCTATTCAAGGTATGGTAGGTGAAAAGTGTTATTCAAATAATGTTATATTTTTCAATGTTCTTAATTTATAGTCTTTAGAATTTCATTTTAAAAATTTACTATTAAAGGTTGTGAACACATTTTGTATATACAACTACCCAGCGGGCACGGAAACGTCCATATGACGTCGAAAGGACGTCTTTTTAGGACGTCCAGAACTGGTTCTAAATAGCAACGCCAGATGACGTCTTTTTAAGACGTAATTATGACGTCTTTTTAGGACGGAATAAAGACGTGTTTGAGACGTCTAAAAGACGTGAATTTAGGACTAGTGCTAAATGGAAACGCTGAATGACGTCTTTAAATAACCTAATTTAGACGTTCTTATTTCGACGTCTAAAATACGTGTTCTAACATGGCTTTACTTAAACGTAGGGTACAAATTTATGTTTTTACAGAACTTCTCGAGAATGAGAAAAAAATAATAAATCATTTAAATTTTTTAATAATATAATTGTGCCGAGTTTTATAAATTACAACTTTGTAAACTTCTTCTTCCACTTGTTAATTTCCAAGAATCGAATTTTCGAACAGTTGACGTCTTTCACTTTCTTTTCGATCAGATGCACTCTTTAAAATATTGCCACCAGCATTTTAAAGTTTTTTTTTTGCTGTAGGAATCAGGAAAGCAGTCTTAACCTTAAAAAAATATTGTTAAGATAAGTATGTAAAAAAAAAAGGGGAAAGAAATAAATAACACAGACACACACACACATATATATATAATTATTATTTTATAAACATAACATCAAACATCAAAAAATACGAATTTCTCAACACTAAATTTATTTTTTTAAAGAAATTTTTGACTGGATTGTTGTGACCAGCGTATATATTTATGTATATCAAGTATGCAATATAATTGCGGTATTAAAAATGCTCTTTTTATAGTAAAATTATACTTACTTTGAAAGCATGCCCTTCTCAAATGCATTGCATGATGAGCCACCAACATTTAATAACTTCAATTTCTAAATTCAAAAGATAACACTGGTGTAATTGATATAGGACAATTTAGTGTAAGTTATATTGGGCATAGAAGCAATTCATTAGTGTTTTATTCAATTCAAAAATTTTGTGTAAACTATGTTTACTTGTAAAGTGAGCATTATGTATATAATTACAGATCAAAATTTTTTATGTAATTTACGCTTATAAAAAAAACTAAACATTTAACCATAATAAAAAATATACTACTTTTTGCAACATTAGTATCAAGAAATGATTGATCACATTCAAGAGACTTGGCGATAGAATCATACTAGTAAAGATCAAAACTATTCTCAACTTTAAACGTTTTTTATATTTCATTATTCTTAAGATAAGTAAATAAATGAAATAAAGATAAGTAAATAAATGAAATAAAGATAAGTAAATAAATGAATTATTCTTAAGATAAGTAAGTAAATGAATTAAAGACTATATATTATAATTTATATATATATATATATATATATATATATATATATATATATATATATATATATATATATATATATATATATATATATATATATATATATATATATATTATAATAGAAAAAATATATATTACATCTTCGCTTCCAAAAAGGCTGCGAACAACCACTATAAGAGTTTAGAAGTTATTGGAAGAGAAAAGATTAAGTTCGTAGGGTAAGATAATGATTGACAGATGACTTAAAAGATTGCAAATTATATGAATCAGGGAAGCAAGATGAAAGAAGCAAATTCCAAAGAACTGATGTTCGAAGAAAAAAACTAGAAAAAGTAAAAAAGAGAAAAAGAAGCAACATCACAACGATGTGACAATGGTTGGAGATTGGCTGCACAAGCAGGCCCAACTATGTTTACAATGCGTTTTTGAACCTTGTCTAAAAGAGAAAGGGCATCAATAGAAGATCTGCCCTAGATATGGCAACAGTATTCCATACAGGGACAGATTTGAGATTTATAGAGATAGAGAATAGAATCTAGAGTAAGGAAGTGTCGAGCTTGATAAAGAGATGCAACCTTAGCAGATGCTAATTTTGCAATGGATTTGATATACGGCTTAAAAGAAAGATCAGAAGTAAAAGTTAATCATAGAAGGTGAAGGGTATATGACTCATCTAGTACATTACCATTCATAAATACAGGAAGATCAAAGTTATTGCGATAACAGTTAGCCAAAAAAAATCGAGTTTTATCTGAAATAAAGTTCAGCAGCCATTGTGAGCCACATGCTGTAGCAGA